CATACCCTGCCCCACAAGACTCTGCCCAAGTCACAGTCCCATCATACCCTACCCTACAAGACTCTGCCCCAGTCACAGTCACATCATACCCTACCCCACAACACTCTGCCCCAGTCACAGACCCATCATAGCCTACCCCACAAGACTCTGCCTCAGCCACAGACCCATCATACCCTACCCCACAAGACTCGGCCCCAGTCACAGTCCCATCATACCCTCCCCCACAAGACTCTGCCTCAGCCACAGTCCCATCATACCTACCCCACAAGACTCTGCCGAAGATACAGTCCCACGTACCATACCCTGCCCCACAAGACTCTGCCCAAGTCACAGTCCCATCATACCCTACCCCACAAGACTCTGCCCCAGACACACACCCATCATACCCTATCCTACCCAACAAAACCCAATTCCCGTCTTATAGCTATTATTTTTTAATACATATCACATTAATACCCATTTATCACAATCAAATTTAGAAGTAAATAAAAGATGTTGCATTTGTTACATAGACATGCTGACACATTTGATATTACAGGTATTAGTTGATGCGTAGGGGTAGGTATTGCATTTATAATTTTTAAGATATTGCAATATACATGTATAAGGGAATATATATTGTATTCCTACAAAATAGTTGTCTATAGAATGAACAAAAATTCTAATTCATTTGAGATGTAACACAACATTTGATTGGTCAATCAAAATAATCTGTGAGAGTATAACCACAATATACTGTACCATCCACAAATTTCTCATTTTCGATGAAGCCCGGGTGGAGATTGTTAATGACGTTAATGACCCCGACTGACCCTGACACGTCATGAAATTGATTCTTCATGACGTCAAGGACAATAGTGTGACCCCGAAAGGTCAACGTAATTCCGCCTCACTTTGAATATTCCTGATGTCACCAATTCATGGCAGAGTAAACCAGAATGTGAAGAAAACTCTCAAAAATATTCTAAAATTGTTCTTTCTTTTGGTGGTTTTGGCTTATACGAGTAAGAATGGGGATTGCAGCGGTATATCGTGATTATACTGTCGCAAATAACTGTTTTACTGGCTCGCTCCGCATCAATTTGCCAAAGTATAATCGTGATATACCGCCGCAAATTTCCAAGATACAGTAGGGTTGTCCCCTACGTAAACACCACCTCAGTAATTTTCAATAAAAAAGTGAAAACCGTATTAGTTATCATGACAATCCCCTTAATTTGGAAAACAGTAATTTAATTTCAACACAATTACTACTAATTCTGTGTAATTATTTCATAACGCTGTCTAAACCACCTTTATAATTCATAACTCAGGTTCGGGTATAACTCTTTGTCAAACGGACACACCGTTCTTCAAACAAGGGTTGGTCACAGGCATCACTGTAATAGGAGAGGGAAAATGCACGCCCAGACCAGGATTCGAACTTCTGACCAGACTCCTCGAACCAACTCGGCTACCAGCTGATTGCTGGCACTTATTTGACATAGTCCAGTTCCAGCTAATCCCCCACAGGTACTTGATAACAGATATTACAATATATTAGTGATAAATAGCATTGCCAGCCACACCTGATGTGTAGCGAATCTGGACTGGGTTGATCGTCGGTGACCAGGTCCGTTTTTGTTTAAACAGTCAAACCGGTCGGACCACAGTTGTTCGTTTATTAAATACCTAATGCCGGACCTTATTTTCGTTAGAATAGTTTTTCTACAGTACCTTTTTAAATTCTCCAAAGTATTCATATTGAACACTTGTCAGAAAATTATGGTGAGGGATGGGATCATCAGTGCAGAAAAAATGTATAAGGGACGGGCTGTTTATAAGGTTATATGTACAGTAAGGGATGGGGTGTTTATAAGGTTATATACGGTATGTACTTTTGTAAATTATGATAAAAGGTAGACAGTTTACTGGTATTGGAAAGGTTCATTCATTTCAACCCATTCTTCTATTCATATTTCTTTAGTGAGTAAATCTGAATTTTACTTAAAACATTACTTAGAATTAAACAGATCCTTCTGTAATTATTACTGCAGTATGACAGCAGTATCAAGTTTTAACCAAAGAGCCAATATATCCCAAACTAGGACAAAAGTATGAGATGAAGATAAAATCTGCATATTGAAGTTTTTTTTCTGAAAGGCATATGAGGAACATCCTCATTCCTCAGGAAAATGACAATAGATGGTGAGAGATGTCCTTTCAGTATTTTTTTTTTTTAAAGTTAAATATCTTGAATTGTACCTTGATTTATTTAACAAAAGTACAAAAATGATATGTCAAAAATGAGAAAATTTGAAATGCTTTTATTTATAAGGTTTAGAAATATTTCATACAAGCATAAGTCATAAAATTGTTAAATTTTCCACTGACATTTCAAAACAAGGTGGAGAAATATACAATTACATGTATGCAAAACTAGCAATAACATGTAGTTACTATGGAAACGTCAGGGCCCAGGTGTGCAATAATACCTGATAAGCTGAGCTCAGGAAGTCGTTAATGAAAATTTCCAAAATGCAGTTCGGTGAAAAATATCTGAAAATTGCAGATATTTTCTTGGTTTTTTTCGTCAGATAATTTTTTTGGAATTGCTAAACCTGTAATTTTAGGTTTTGATTTATATATTTTTTCAAATACACAAAACTAATATTTTGTGTTAAATTATCTTCCAAGCTAACAAGGCACCAAGCATAACACAGGAATACATACAATAGACACAACTGTCATCTTTCTCCTTTCCTCCCCTTTTCAGCACTAATATCTCGCTCTCTCACTCTTGTTTAATTCAGTCTTCCCGCTTCCAAAGTAGTACAAAAATATACACACCAGGTGGTATATATATATAAAGTCTGAAATTTTAGGACAAATGAACCCAACAGAAAAGCATGAATCAAAGACTCATTTATCTGTATCTCAAAACTTAATTTTAAGAGTGGATGGGTTGCAAAAAAAAATAATGATAAAATGGTAAAAAAATCAGAAAAATAATTACAACAAAAAAAGTTATTTCTCGGCACACATATTTAACAAAATAATTTAAAAAAAAAATCATTAAACAAAATAGCTATTACAGTACTATATACCCCCACCCCCATATACACGTCGCACAAAATACAAACAGTATATGGGGATGGAGAAATATCAAATAGTGTGACAAAAAAAGTGTAATGACTTAATTATATATAGCATTCACGGTACAATGAATGCCACTTACAAAGGGAACGGTAATAACATGAAGTGTCTGAATATAAAATGTATCATAATTATCATTTTAATAAATACAAAACTTATTACCTATACTAAGTAAGGGTACGTGATTTCGTACAGGATGTGAGTTCGTACACTAAATATTGTTTTCTTATTTTTTAACCGATCTCTTTCGATGGAGGCATAAAATCGCTCCAACAGCAAACCACCGCTATTGTCCTTCTGCGGTTAACCTCGTTTTCAAAATGAAACTAGTGAGTCGAGCTATCGTCTGCAGAATGGACCCAATGTAACTTTAAAGCATTATTTAAAACAGAATCTAGCCAATTTTCTTGTGATCATTTTGAGATCATTTACATAAAACAATATTTTACCATTTCCATCAAAAAGAAGCTCAAATATAATAAATAACAACGTTTTTTAACGTACACGCCCTCTTATTGACAGGGCACCTAGCGAAGGGACAGGTCATTATTTCGAAACTGATCTAAAATATATGTTTGTTTTGGCCTCAAAAACCTTCTGGAACATTGAAATTGTTTTATAAAACATACAATGAAATAATTGCTACTAGAATATATATAGTTGATATTTTTCCACAAATGGGTCGATGTTACCACCAACAAAGGACACTTTTGTTTTTTATAAAAATCGTAATTTGTTCAAAAAACATTTCTGGTCTTTGAAAATTGGCAAATCTGAATGAAATATATTGAATTTATTCGACATATACTTATATTTGCTTTATTTACTAAGAATAGCACATTTGTAGCGTGTACGAAATCACGTCCCCCAACTGCCGCGAAATGTGGAAGTAAATGATGGTAAAAGAAAGATCCCCTGTGCAGTAAATTTCCGCGCATATGACGTCACATACACAAATATAGCACAGATTGCGTACATCTTTTAGGTCAAAGTAGATCCGATCTTCTTGGAGATGTATTTGAAAAAAAATATGTGAATCTGCTTCAAAAGTGTACGAAATCAGGTACTGTCACTCTATTGATGTGTGAACGTTCAACCCATTCTTTTCAGTTCTATCCCCCCTACCCCCACCCCCATCCCTTTCCCCATCCAACCCCACCTCACTCACACTAGTTACCCCAAAATTCAATCATGCACAAATCATCTCTCTGCCTTTCATCATAAATGATGATAAAACAGACGTAATTTCTTATCATTTTAAGTATAGCTATTTACATGTTCCCTAATCCACTCCAACACAAATTTATACACATTTACAGTATAAACCATTTACCACATGTGTACAGTAGTACCTATTACGAAAGCATAAACCTCAAAAAATAAATAACAGCATCTTTAGCATATCCACTGGTCATTGCAGGCTCACTTCACATAAGCTTTAAAAACAGTGTCTCACCAACCCCGTACCCGATGAAAGGTCACCCCTCCCCACCCCCTCCCTCATCCTTCACCCTCCGTCTGTAGACTGTAACCCACACTACTGCGGTAGAATACGCATCTCGACTGTCACTGGACACAGCATGGCCTGAATATTAACACAACGTATGTCGCCCAGGCATTATCAATCATTTAAGCTTGCAAGTGTGTTTGCTATCGGCACTGACATCTCAGCCTACATGTTGACCAAACCGATGCTCGGACACGGTCCTTGATCAGCAATATAAACAGCCTGGAGGCTAAACACGTAACGCGTTAGGATGTGCAGGGTTTAACTAACCTCGTTACGCTTGCTAAAATAACACGACATTCCCGTACGGAAGGAATAAGTAGGCCAGATGTTCGCCAGCATACGACAAGAGACTTACCCTATCTTGTCTAGAAATCTTGGAAAAGCAGCAGCAGATTTCACAGATATGCCGTATGTTGGAATCCTGCAAAAACAGAAACACGTTTCGGCAACATATATATCCAGGCGATTTTTTCACTCTAATTTTCTCATCTCCGTGAGTTGGAGAGCGATATACGTGTGTGCTCCAACCCCAGCTAGCTACGCCCACGCGCGTTAAAAGCGGCGAGTGTGTATGCGTGTGTGCAGGAATATTGATCTCACGATCGGGGCCCCGAGTAGGGAAATCAGAGATCAGCGACTGGCGAATATGATCATTTGATAGGGGCCATCATAGAGGTAGAGTGGCATTTAATCATGTATTCAATTAACATTATGTAACACGATACGGGCGCCTGGCGCATGTGCAGCAATACACTGTAGGCTACTGTATCTATACATCGCGAAGGAGGCTGAGAGCGTGTTGACGAGCGGTCAGCCCAGATGTTTTCCGGATCTGACCACGACTATGTATATATACACACGCGTAGAGGTCTAGAAGTAACTCTGTCTGTACATTGGCATTGCATTGATAATAAGTGTAGTAGAAACATTTTATAATACCCAAGCTTGTTTGAATGTAAAACGAAAAAAATAATATCTACATGATCCGAATGTAATCATGGACTTGAGTTAATGAAACCTTGAATACAGTTTTTTCTATTCCAATTGCTTTAAATTTCATTATTATTGAGAAAGGCTATACTAAAAAATCTAATAGGAAATATGCATTTGAAAAATATCACTGCACTGAACATGAAATTAATGTTCATCTATTTCGGCGCGGATCTGTCTCCGGTAGTTGAACCGACTCTCATTACATTTAGTGTGAAACTCAGTTCATGTAACGCACATGGCAATGATGATGATGATGATGATGATGATCAATGAGGATAACTTTTTTTGCAAACTTACACACACATTTTTAACGCTACCCATTTTTTTGCGAGCCTTTACTTACAAACGTAAAAAAAAACTTTTCGCACGATGATCTTCTCGCTATTAATAATCTCAAACCGCCTGGCGATCACCTCATTTGTGTATTTGCCTCATGGTTTCAGAGAATCAGTTTTTAATTGAAACAGTCGCTATTCTTAGAAGTCATGATCATTGAGGGACGAGTAAAAATATTTGGAACATGTACCTAATTTGTGTTCGGCTACAGTGTAAGAAATATCGACTTGACGCGATTGGGTCTGTGATCTGTCATCTTTACTTCCAAAAAAAGTTAGCCTCCCCCCGCTTTCAAAAAATGGTAAAAATGGTAGTTTCATTTGTATGTAGTATTGATCTAACCACCCCTCCCCATATAACGTTGGTATCGCAATCAGTTTTACATCCGTGTGTTTAACTGTCTGTCCCTGTGCCTATCAACGAACTGGACTGTTGTCAGGCGGAGATTGCCGAAACAAGACGTAAATCACTTACAACAGTCGACGGACAGGTACAATCATTTCTAGGAGTTGATAGACCGGTATGACATTGATTAGCGACTGTATTAATACCAGTAAACTACAGGTATAAAACTTGGAGTCGTTCCTAGTACTATTTATGGCGAAAATCTGACAGTTTTTATCCTGCATACGATGATTTCTTACCTCGGAAGTAATAATAAGAAAATTAAACGCTCAAACGATATAGGCCAACACATTAGGTATAAATGTAGTACCAGCGTAGAGCACAGCCACAAGAGGTGTAATGTGCCTCACTTATAATTAGTCTATCTGTTTTTGGAGGGAGAATCCCAACTTTTAGCACACTTATATATAGATATATGTATATAAATACGTTGGAAGTCACAAGAATTCATGATATCTTGCATTTTGTTCAGTACAATATTATATTAATTTCACACACAGATCAATTTTAATAATGACAATTGCAAAGTAAGAGCTACATCTTATAAGTGTTTAACAGACCTTTTTTTTCTTTTGCTTTACGTCTTATTTCAGACGTACTTGTACCAGGTTATTGTGGTGGAGAAAACGTACCGGGGTACATGGAGAAAAATCAGCGGAAAGGATGATAAAGAATTTTATGATAAAAGTGCTAAATTTGGACATTAATTTAAAACTCATTATATTCGTTATTTGGCGTATTTTAAACTACCAACTTTTTAACTTTCATTTAATTTATTCCATCGTGAGACATACATATAATTTATATCCTGGAACTATTTTGTGTATTTTTTTTTTATTCAAGAAGCTTTTTCTTTGAAGTCGACATGTATAATTCGTTTGAACCATTGTTGCCAGATTAACTTATGCATTGACTATGTCCATCGTATAGTATATACAATTTACCTTTTTACTTAATTCTGTTACGGAACGGGTTTAACTGGTATTACCAGGTCGGATACTGCAATTAGTCTCAGACAAGGGACAGCTAAATTGGCTTACCTGGTCGGGTACGGCCTCGGTCTCAATGGACAATTGCTATGAATGACGTACAGATGTCACTCAAACTAACACCATCAGTTAGGACCTAGGTATCGGACTGTACGGGTGTGTTTTTGGATACTCCAGAAATCACCCACCGACCTAGAAATAAATTTATATTTGAACCATACAACATCTCCAGAACTTTTACTTTTCAAATTATTTAAAAGCACGGACTTTATCTAATTCCGTGTTATAAGTACCTGACATTTGTATACGTCCGTCAAAAACGATAAACTATACGGTACGGCAGCCGCCCGTCCGTTATTTTATTTTTTTCCGCGCAATAACGACTTAAATTACCACAGAATGAAACTTTCTCAACTGTTACAACATACTGGGATTAACAATAAGTTCAACGTTGAGTTAAATTCGAGCATAATTAATTTGTATGCTACATTCTGATTGGTCTAGATCTACAATGACAAGGAAATAGCTATATACACTCTAGGCCGTTTTTGTAGTGCTGTTGTTGTTGTTGTTGTTGTATGATGCTAAGAAAGACGTTAACATATAATAATATAATAATAAAATATTTTATTTAAGTGTCACACATATTTTACTATATCACTTACATAATAAAAGTACACATATGCAAAATATGCCCAGCCATACCGACTTACGAGACACTACTTAAAAGTTACATATTTTAAAACATAGAATCTATTAATGATTCTCAATAAAAAGAACCATATATTATACTGTACATAACATAAAAATTGAATGTATGCTCAGGATCCGATAGTGGGAGAAGAGCGAGAGTGGTTGGGCCAATCCCTACCAATCCCCAGATACCAGACTTAACTAATGACAAAAGACAAAATTTTGGACGAGGTCGGGTGTGTGGTGAGGTTTTGGTCATGTATTTTTTTCTCCCATCTTTGACTAAATTTTCTACAACCCTTCACATGTGTGTCTCCCTTTTAAGCTGGAAAAGATCGCTTATCACCACCTAGGGGGAAATAGCCTCGTGCAGAATAGCGCGATCTAAATAATAACAATAGTATGAAGTCACGTCAGCAATGCATTGACGTCACGTCTTCAGTATCAGACCATGGAAGACAACTCTGGATTTGCTGGAAAAATGCAATCGCCGCTTGTCGGCGGATTTTTGAGTGAAACAGGATGAGAGAAAAACGATCGCCCCCTAACTTGAGGGTCTGATAGAGAAATATCCAACCCTAGGGATAGTATCCTCGAATGTCCTCCCATCGACAAAGCCTCTGGTAAGAGAATCAAGAATATCCTCTCTTGGGTTTGAGATTTCTCTGTCACACCCTCAAGGTAGGGGGAGATTCTATTTGTCATTCACTGCCTCGCCATTAAGTTTCGAAAGAAGGTGGGGTTGGGATGACACAGTCGAAATTATTTTTCACCACAAAAATGCAGACTGATCACACACACAAAAAATGAATTCACCAACAGGGGCCACAGATACAGACCGAACCTACTTCAAAATAGCCAGGTGCATTGAACTGTACAATATAACCGGTTAACTGCCTACCTGTCCCCCCTCATCACACCTCATGGTGCATAATCGTCAATAAAATCGCCCATCTCCGCCAGGTCGACCATTGTAACAAATGGTGAGACTTTAAAGACATCATTAGAACCCAAATAACTGCCCACAAATCAAATTCAGGGAGATTTGAGATCAACTATGTTTCCATATAAAAGTTTTAGATGCATGCATCAAGACTTTCATATGCCTTTCATATGACTCCCATATGCCTGAACAAGAAAGCTATACGTTTGCAATACGTCCGGAAGAGCCCATCATGTGATTGAGTGAGAACTTGGGGGTCCAGGTGAGGGCGTAATGGCCATGGGCGTACATTTTTTCAAAAAAAATAATTAATAATAATAATAATATCGGAATCTGCTAATATTGTATTGAATTTGGCAATTTATCATTTCATTAATTAAACACATACTCTGTTAAAAAAACATGTCAAACCCTGACACTTTAACTATAAAATATACATGCTCCAAGTCAGGAACCGTTACATTAGTGCATTTCACAATTATTTTATGTTTTTTAGGAGAAAAAAAAGGTCCAATTTTTTTTTCGCCTCGCTAGAAACGCCCCTGTGCATGGCTTGCTAACCATTCTCATCGAAGGTTCACAGAACTGGTGGGTTTCGCTTTCGGCTCTACGACTATTGGTGGATAATGAAATCTACAACAACAACAAAACTACGAAGATGATTCTTTCAAATACGACAGGAAGTTGATAGACATTTGTTTGTGAAACTTATAAAAGATATAAGAAAAAGAAGAGTGTACAGCAGGAGGTAGTTTCCCTATCTGATAGGTGTAAGGTGGGAAGCAGTATTGAAGAGGAGCTGTGGGCCAATAAGTCATATACAGTACTTCAATATTTACGAGGAATACGTGTACTTAAAGACGTCAACAACCCGTGTCCCCCGGGACAGAGGCACCCCTCGCCTTACTTCTGATTGTGTTAGCGCGGACCGCCCTGGTTCACAGTTTGAGGACGTAACATGGCTTGGGTTTGATCTAGAATTACACGGCGGATGTTGTTAATCTAAAGAAGTTTACCCGTCCGGAAAAGGTCGCTTTCCTTCCATACCCTTTATATATACGTCTTGGGGATTTAGATCAATTTTCGGTAAAAATGTCACCCCGATGATCATTGGGGGTGGCATTTCTACCGAAAATTGATCTTAACCCCTAATATATGTAAAATTACTCTGAACACCCTAGTTTAGGTAATGTGGTTTCGACTGACGTGTACGAAACCTAGGCCTACTGTAAGCTCATCATACGGGACAGTTTGTTATAACGGTATTTATGAAATACATAATTTCTTTGGTAATGGAAAAATTACCTATAAGCTTTAAAGATATAAATTCTTCTAG